AATCATGGCGGCGAGAGAAGGAACTGACCTGGACAGGAAGAAGAATGAGTCGGGTGAGCAGCGGAGTTGCAGACAAACGGTGGTGAAGAAGGCGAAAGGAAGAGATGGCGTCCAGCGGCGGTTTTTAACTGACAACAGGAAGGCGAATCGGCAGGCCATGATTACTTATTTGTGGAGATCGTGCCCAAGTGTCGTGCGGAACCCAAGGAACGGCCCGGATCCCCGCTAGAGCGTCCACGTGGACTTTGCAAACTCCCCACTCCTCCGCTTGGCCCAGCTGAGGACTGAGGAGTTGGGGGGCTTATGATGGGCCGATATCCAGAGGACGGCCCAAATGAACCATTTAAACAACTTCGGGTCAAGCACCTGTGAAATACTCAAGCTGGGCCGGCCCAAGGTGCTGGGCCGGCCCAAGGTGCTGGGCCTAGTTAACCTCAGGCTAAGCGCAGCTGGCAGAGTCAGTTCGGAGAAGGAGACGGAGCTGATTGACCGTTACGGAGCCGGGAAAAGGGGATCGCGCCCTTGGCGGGCTAGACTCCATCGGTTATGCTTCACCTTAATTGTTTAGAGCTCATGTATAAATAGAGGGGACCCGAAAGGGGAGAACTCAAGCTAAATCAAGCTAGTAATACACATCCAATTCTCGAATTCTTGTTCTTAATTTTGTTCATACGATCCGCTTTGTAAACCGGATCATTTGGTGGGTTTATTGTCCATCACTTCCAATTCACCATGACATCTTAAGATTTTTTATACCCTTCATAATAATAGCCTTATCATTATCTCCTCGATTGGCAATATCATTTTTTTTACTTTTCTTGTTTATCCAAAGCATATATTTCTTTTCCTATTCTTCTTCACCACTATTTTTATTGCTTGAGATCTCCTCTGATTGAATCCGAGTTCCTTCCGATTTCCCTTTTAAATGTATCCATTATTATCTCCTGTAAGCCATTCATCACGCATTGTCAGCTCATGGTCCAACTGACTTTCTCATTGAATTCTTCTAATTTCAGATTTAATTGCCTATCGTTCAATCCTTTCTTGTATATCACATAGAGCAAATTCATCCTTGTAGTGGTCAAGCAGCTTCTTTTTGTTGTCTATACTTGATTAAATCTTCTTCAACTTTGAACACAACACGATGATAAAAAAAGTAAGGCTGGCCTTTTGGATTGTAAGTTTTGGTATCTCTGAAGTGTCATCGTCACCTTAGCTGGGATTGACATGCTGCTGCTGATGGGAGTGCCCATCTCCAAATTAGAGAATTCACCATCTCTAAAAATTATGTGTTCTAAGTTTTTGCGAAGTGTCATTTTCAACAAAAGTATCAGATGTACATGTTTTCAAATTTTTTCTTGTTGTTGAGGGGTGTCATCTACAAAATGATTTTTCAAGTGTTTTTATGTTTTATGTTTTTTTTGGGGGGGGGGTGTCATCTCCAAAATTTCACATGTTTAGAATCATAGTTTGCGTTGATGTTTTAATTAAATGAAGTGTGATTTCTTGTTTTTTATTTTATTTTGGTGTAGTTTTACAATATTAATCTATGTGTTAATAACTACCAATTCTACATTGGATTTTGCATTAAAACGATCCGGATGAAAGTTAGTGATAGTGGTGAAGTGTATCCTACAATGGCTCCCGCCCTTTGTAGGTTAGGGGGTTGGATGTACGCATAAATCATAGAGCATATGTTTCCAAATGATCCATGATGAGCATAAAAAATTGCATTGACTAATTGGTACTCTACTTTTATAAGTAGCGCAAACAATCTAAAGAGTCATTTTGCTTTATTCCATCACACCCAAAGTCAAAAAATAGTGAATCTTTGGCCATAGATGATGGAAAATGCATTATTATATAGGCACACACACATATACATACACATATACATATACATACACACACACACATGCACACACACACACATATAGCTGTGTGTGTGTAGAATGGGTAATCTTACACCAATTTATTGGTGTTTGATTGTTACACCAATTCAATTGGAGCAACTACGGTGGTCCGATCGTAAAATGGATTGTTCCCTTAATGCACCCCCGCACCCCCTCCGATTGCACCACCCAATTCTTTGTTGACTTTGGTGTCAGTTTTTTTTACCAAAATTAGGGTGGTGCAATCGGAGGGGTGCAATAGGGACATGATGGTTAAGAGAGGTAGGAACAATAAATTTCCGTAGGTGCTTCATTTGAATTGGTGTAACAGTCTTACACCCAATAAATTGGTGTAATATTACCCCTTCTCATGTGTGATTGTGTGTGTGTGGATGTGTGTATATATATGAAAAAAATTGTGAGAGATCAATAAAAAAAAATAGATCAAAGAAAGGAAAACTTAGGGCAGAGCCAAATCTTCAGAATAAGAACAAAAAAAGAAAAGAAAAAAGAGAGCAGGTCACACAAGGAAAAGGAAAAAGAAATAAAACAAAAAAGTGTCGCTCTAGTGACTAGACGTACCTGCCCCTAACAGGTACTTAGAAGTAGTCATCTACACCAAGAAAAACGGAAAGAGACTGTATATGCATGTCCAGTAAGGCACTAAGGGCCTGTTCTTTAGGGCTTGAACTCTTAACTTCCAGTTTCTTCCAGTTCCTTCCAGTTTCTTCCAGTTCCTTCCAGTTTCTTCCAGTTCCTTCCAGTTTCTTCCAGTTTCTTCCAGTTTTTTTCCAGTTTCTTCCAGATCCTTCCAGCTTTTTCCAGTTCCTTCTAGTTCTTCCAGTTTCTTCCAGTTTTTTCCAGTTTCTTCCAGTTTTTTCCAGTTCCTTCCAGTTTTTTCCAGTTTCTTCCAACATCCAGCTCTTTTTTTACAGTCCTAAAGAACAGGCCCTAAGTTTAGAGTAGTTCAAAGTAGTAATCTTTTAGTCTTTTTTAAATTTATTAGTTGAATCAGTTAAAGTTTCCAAATAGGTTGTTTGCTTGGTATTAAATATTGTTGTTTAGGGGCCATTTTTTCTCAACTTTTACTTGACATAATTTCTCAATAATGAGGAACTTGGCCAAAATTCCTTTTAAGTAGGACCAGAGGGAGTAATTTACTTTCCAAACATGCACACTATATTTTGGGATATAATATTCATGCACAAAGCTTTACAAGTCTTGTGAGTGTAATTGTGGTGGTTGATGTCTTGACTTGCAGGCCTCAGGTGACCATTGCTACTGCAATTTTATTTTGTCAACGTTTCTTTCTTCGTCAGTCTCATGCCAAAAATGATAGGAGGGTAAGTGATATTTTTATATGTCAACCGAACTTTTGTTAATTGTTGAAAGTTCAAACAGTACTCATCTGTATTTTGTATATCTAGTATCTACACTGCATCATGTATATCTAGTTCTACACATAAGTCACATCCTCTATGAAAATTTCACAAGAATGTGTTGTCATATGATTACTTTGTTTTGTCCTTGTACTCTACTTACAATAGATGATACTAGGGGGTTATTGTCAAGATGGATAGCTCTAGCAAAAGATTTGAACCATGATCAGGTTCACATAAACATGTTGAAAGTGTTCTCTTAACTTCGTAAAGTAACGATACCAGTGTGCTACTAATCCTACTATATCATGTCACGGTAGTGGCGCTAGTAATGTTTAGCTTTGTGAGAAACCACACATTTTATGCTAGTGATGAATTTACAGTGTGAGGTGGAACCGTACTTTATGTTGCAAAGGACAAACAATATCTAATAAAATAAAATCGAAGCAATATAATTGCTTCGTAGGGTTCACTCCATTTTCTCCATCGGAAAAAGCTGGGCAGATCAGTGCACCAACACTCATCCTCACAACTTCATTTTCTCCAGTATCAATTGATGAAAACATTTGAGGTATAACTTGACAAGTATCATGCATCTACTCTTTTTTTTCCTCTAACCATTCTCTCTTTATTGCTCAGTCTTCGCATTCTAGTCTAACTAATGTCTTGGCTCCGTTTTAAAACAATTATACTCCCTCTGACCCTTATTACATTTGCTATTTCTTTTATTCATATCCTAAAACAATGTTCACTTATCTAATTTGAGCACTATTAACTTTTACCTTTTATAATTCACCCTTTCTCACACACACACACACACACACATTTGAAATGATATGACACAACTGGTTGGTTCCATTTGAAGGACATCTGTATAAAGTGAATTATATTTGACTTCTTTTCCTTAAAAACTAAACAAAAAGAAAAGCAACATTGTATTTTTAGTATGTAGGGTGTAACATATTCATTTGTATCATACTCGCGTATTCATTTGTGTTGTCTGTTGGCCTCTTGCTGTTTACTCTGCTTGTGTGTCTTTAGATACTCATACAACAACATTACCCCATTGCCTCAAAGGCTCCCGCCCATTGCAGGGTGGGGGGTCGGATGTATGCAACCTGACCCCTATGTTAAAACATAGAGCGGCTGTTTCCCAGTGACCCATGATGAGCGTCGAAAGTTGCATTGACTAACTAATACTCCACTATCAAAAGAAGCACAAATAGTTTAAGAGCTATTTTGCTTTATTCCATCTTACTCTTAAGCCAAATGATAGTGAATATTTGGCATTTTGGCTCCATCGGAGAAGATGGAAATCGGCTTTAGATACTCATATACGCATATTTTTTCAAATAAGATTCTTCGAGGGCTATAACATTTAACACTTCACAATGTTCATCATTTGGAAGCATTACTTGTTATGTTTTGGAAAAAAGTGTCACGACTGTTTAAAAGTGTTTCTTTACTTCTGCATTTTTCGCCTTAACAAGATTGGGTACATTTATTCAAAAAGCCACTCATTTGCCATTATTTGGCATCATTACACGTGCTTGGTGAAGTTGTCGCTCTGATGCACAAGTTGCAATAGTCTGTTTTTTATTTAAATAATTGTATTAAGCCGCTTAAAACTAAAAGTACTTCGCTTTCTTTGAGTTTAAGTATCAGAAACAGTGTTCCGTATGTGCGTGTGTGGTGAACTAGTCATTGCAACCCCAACACTATTCTAGATAAGGAGATAATTATCCTTGAAAACCCTTCAAACTTGAGGAAATTCTAAATCTTAAGTTTTGTTATGTGAAGAAGGGATAAGATAATTATGAAATTGGATAAAAGGATTTTTAAATTCAAAATTGAAGAGATGTGACTTTTAGAATGGTAAAGCAATCAAACATTGCTAGTTCTTTGTACCCATTCATTGAAGTCACATCTGTTGTAATCAAACTCTAAGTTGTAATGTGGTGCACTATAAATTGTGCATGTTTGCTACACTTCTAGAGGTGAAGATGAAGAAATGTAATAGCTAAAATGTAGCATGGACATTGTTCTTGAATGTTAATCATTATTGCATGATTTATTTAGAGTGTTGAAGGCATGATCCATTTTTTATCACTTTGAATTTCTATGTGAGTGAAGTAATTATTAATAGTTATAATGCTAGAAATGATTTGGGAATGAGCATGCAAGATTTGTTGCCTGGCTTCACAATTCATGATATATAAATGATCTTTAGATACCATCTTAAAAGTTGGGTTACATAGCAAAATGAGTTTGTACACCATACTTTCTCTAGGACTATTGTGCTCCCATTCCCGTGCTTATTGAACTTATAATATTTTGGACACCACTCAACATTAGCATAGTGATGGTATTTACATTCACCTCTTCGGTGTGAGATTTGATCCTTCTAAGAGCATGAAGGGTTGAACAACCCGCCCGATATAGTGTTGTGTTTGGCGCATGGTTTGTAAGGCGCCAAGGCAAGGCGCCAATGTACCTTCATATTGCCTAGGCGACTAGGCGCACGCCTACGTGTCCTATATATATATATATCTGTACATGTTTTCGAAAAAAATATGTATATGTGTATATATATATATATACATATATATGTATATATATATACACACACACATATTATATATCGTAGGTCACAAGTTTAAGCCAAATCTTTTTAAACATTTTAAATTAGGCTTTCAAAAAAATTGGGCAGCACTAAAAAAATTTGGGCTTTTCAAAATTTTAAAGGGACCCAAGGCATCAAGGCGAGAGTAAGGCAATGCCTAGGCGAGCGCCTGAATGCCTTAATGTTTTTTGGGTGAGGCGAGCACACTAGGCGTCCAAGGGACAACGCCTTATCGCCTAGGCGACGCCTTACAAACTATGGTTTGGTGTGGGTTTAAAAGTGATACAATCAAATCAATTCACTGTATATATTTCTAGTTTAGATACCAATGTATACTCCTCTCGTCTCACCTTTAGGTTCTCGTTTGTTTTTTCACGGAGTTCAAGAAAAAGTAAAATCGTGTGTTTTAGATCTGTGTTTTAGATCTTTGCAGGGATAATGAATGAACCATAAAAAGTCTTTCCTTAAAAGGAAAGTGTTAATTTAAATGTGGGACACAGGGGGTATTTTTAAATTAACAAGGCATGCTTATCGTCAAAAAGTTCATACATAGGTGTTTATGATATATATATATATATATATATATATATATATATATATATATATATTGGTAAGTCTAAAATGACACCAGTGCTACTGGTGTCATTTGCTTACACCAGTTCGTTTGGGGTACCTACGGTGCTTCGTTTGTAAAAACGACGGATCCTACCCCCCTAACCCTCCCCCTAAACCCCCAGCCCCCCCTCCCGCCCCCCTCCCTACCCCGGCAGTACACTGCCAGGGGGTAGGAACCGTTGTTTTTACAAACGGAGCACCGTAGGTACCCCAAACGAACTGGTGTAAGCAACTGGTGTAAGCAACTGGTGTATAAGTAACTGGTGTCATTTTAGACGCTCCCTATATATATGATTATGCTAATCTAATTGATAGAATTGAACATGTAGAAGTATTATTATAGTATCTTCTTCCTCCCCCCAAACCTTAGCCATTATTCCTTTTATGCTGGTCCTAAAGAATTGGTCCCTTTTAAGGGAAGAAATATGTGGCGATGTTGTAGGCATTCTAGTCACAATTTCTTCAGGAGTAGTGAGATGAGATTCAAAAACCATTATCATTTATCATTGTATGTCAATTTCACTTGCATGGAAATGATTGTGAGATTATGATGAATTAAGATTGTAGTTATTGTCTTTTCCTTTCACAATTGATATTTGATAGTACATGCATATTGGTCGTGTGAATTATTAAAAACTAATGGCTTATTTCCATTTCAACATACTCCTTGTCTATGAGTTCTTTAGAGTTACTATTCATGTGGTTAAACTATTTCGTTTTTCTTTACATATTTTCATATATCAGTTGATAGAATAATAGTCATGTCACGTCTCTTTTTTAATTTTATCCATTTATTAAATAAAGCAAATAAAAAATAATTTTAATCAAACATCGTAAACCATAATGTAAATACTCATTATCCCTTTTCATCTTCCATCTTTCCTATTAAAGAATTGTGTGGTTCCTATTATTTCTGGCTCATTTGCAAAAATCAACCACACCGTTTCACTTCTATTAAATAGGGATGGGGGTAGTATAATACGGAGTAGGATTTAGTACAGTGTAGTGGTCTTTGTAGGTATCCCAACCAATTGCCATCCTTCAAATGAGCAAGAAATGGATAATAACATTTTATTTTGCTGGTAATCATTGATATTATTTTCTTGATGACCTAGATGTATCTTCCAGACAAGCATTTACCCTATGTTTGGTTTGTTGAATTCAAAAGAGAAGAAAATAAAGTAGATTTCTTTCCTTTTCCTCACCAAAATAGAAGGAAACCTGTTTTCCCTCTTTTAATTCATTTCTTCTTTTATTTTCTTTTTCTTCCACTTTTCTTTTCTTTTCCTTTCTTATCAAACAAGAAAAGTTGTTTTCCCTTTCATTTCCTTTTCTTTTTTCCTTTTCAAATTCCTTGAACCAAACATAGTGTTAGTTTTGTGGAATTCTTGTTCTGCATTCCGTGGTGTCTCTAAAAGTTATTCATGATGAAATTTTATTTGACTGCCTTATTTGCGAAACTGCTAATCAGCTTTAACCGCATGACAGGGAGGAAACCTGAGTGTCTAACTCATTTACATAATTTGCAGATTATTGCAATTGTATGTATGTTCCTTTCCGGAAAGGTTGAAGAAACACCTCGAGCCTTAAAGGATGTTATAGTTGTGTCGTACGAGATTATTTATAAGAAGGATCCGAAAGCAATACAAAGGATTAAGCAAAGCGTATTGGCATAAGATAATATCACTTACTGTATCAATGTGTATACTATTGTGGTACACTATTGCTATCGTCTTCCGATTTTTATCTTCTTTGTCGGTCATTGCTCTATGGTGAAAATTACTTGGGTGGTTGGCTATGATATTTTCATCTCAACTTTATAATATATTTTGTTATTCCAATGCAGGAAGTCTATGAACAACAAAAAGAACTGATTTTGATGGGAGAGAGGGTAGTTCTTGCAACACTTGGATTTGAGCTCAATGTGCATCATCCATATAAACCCCTTGTTGTGGCACTTCAAAAATTCAAGGTTGCACAAAATACACTTGTTCAAGTTGCTTGGAATTTTGTTAACGATGGGTAGGATTGCTTTATTGTGGTTTTGTTGTGTATGGAGACGATCCAGTGGGATCCTTCTTTTTCTCTTTTGATGACCTGGGAAAGCCACGTGCAGGCTTCGGACATCTTTACGCTTGCAATTTAAGCCCCATCACATTGCAGCAGGTGCCATTTTTCTTGCCGCCAAGTTTCTCAAAGTTAGGCTTCCACATGACAATGAGAAGGTTTGGTGGCAGGAGTTTGATGTCACCCCACGTCAATTGGAGGGTGGGATGGTGTTTTGCTTTAGATATACATTCAATCTTATAGATATACTTGTGGTATTGAGTTAACTGACTTATTTACTATATTTATGGCTTTCATTTGCCATGTTTTCTTTAGACATGCTCTAGCCTCTAGGATTTGTATAATCGATTACTATGCACACACATGCCCTTCTTTTTGTTTATAGTTTTGTGGTTCTTTTGCTGGGTGGCGAAGTATACTCATGTTCCTAAGTTACGAGTAGCATAGACGAAGATGCTTAGTATAGGATGGATGTCTGGTTATACAGAAATGGATAAGATCTAAAGTGAGGCTTCAGGGAGGGTGGGAGTGGGAAATAAATGACGGGAAAATTGAGATGGCGAATGCCCCATTGAGGTGTGAGAGCCTTGAGGTAGAAGGTGTGGAGATGGATAGAAGTAGACCTAAGAAGAGTTGAAAGGAGACAATTAGATAGGAGTGTCTAGATCTTGGATATTAGGGTGATAGAGCAGTCTTTTTGTCTTAGTTTGTAGTTCCTGCATTTGTGCTTGTTCTTGTTTATGTTCTTTGTCTGTGCTATTTTCCTTTGCCGTTATATTCTTGTGTTTTGAGCTGGGGTCTCTTGGAAACAACCTCTTTGCTTTCAGGTAGGGATAAGGGTTGTGGGCATTCACCTGCCTCAGACCCCACTTTTTGGGATTTTTCTGGGTCTATTACTGTAGATGTTCTTTATTTTTTTTGCAAGGAGAAATTGTTTTTTTATTTTTAAATTAAACAAAAAAGATAAAATAGGACATTTGCATTAATGCTGTTTTTAAACATTCTTGCAGAGGTAAGCAACCAAATGCTTGAACTATATGAACAGAAGTTTCTTGCCAGTGAAGCAGAAGAGTGTGCTGATGCTGTGGGTAATCAGAGACCAACAAATCCGTCTGGTGCAAATGAAGTCCATAACCCGAACAGCAACTGCTCTCACGATGGCACCGCCACATCATCAAAGACCGGGACCTCCAAAGCCTCCTCCCAAAAGCCAATCCCCGATCATTCGCTTCCTAATAATCATGGTAGGGCTGGTCAAAACTGTGACAATGACCATGCAAATTCTGAAAAGAACACAACAGACGGATCCAGCGATGCTGGTGAGGCTAGTGATAAGCAGAACGACGGAAGTGGTGAAGAGAAGACAAAACAAATGAAGGAGATGCTGGATGGCGGTGGGGCCCTGGAACACGACCACAAGGATGGGGCGGCAGTTGGGCGGTCACCGCAAGAGGTCTTCATCAAGAATATTGACAAAGGCAAAGTGAAAGCAGCACTTGAGAGGAGCAGGAAATCCCGTGGGGGCACAACTAGGAAGGCCGATGTTTTGGACGACGATGACCTCATCGAGAGAGAATTGGAGGACGGGATAGTAGTAGATGCTGAGAAGAGCAAGTGGGAGAGAAGACAGAGTTGGTCCAAGTCATCAAGCGGGCTAGAGCACGACCAAAGAATGATGACGAAAGGGGTGGTGCAGCCCTTGCAAAAGGAGAACAATAATTTGGAAGAAGGGGAATTGGATCCTTATGGGGATACCGTCGCTCACAAGGGGGCCCACCATTCGCCCAAGTCTGCTAACCGTAAGCGAAAGGCAAGTCCCCTCCTGCAGAGGGAGGGAAAGCATCGCCACCGCGACATCATCTATCCACAATCACTCGCACCACGACTTCCCGGAGGGCAGAAATAGGGGTGGGAGACTCGGTGACAACTATTAAAAAGGCACCCCCCATAAGAATCACGCGTAAGACGTCGTCCTCCCAGTAGTTAGATCTTCATAGATATGGTCGGTCGAGCCAGCAAGCAAGCAGTGTTCTGCTGAAATGGTTTGTGTTGGGGGTAAAAACACTGTTGGTAACCTTTCTTAAAGTGCATTTTTATTGTGCCTCTGATTTCACTTCTACTTGCAGCTTTAATCTTCATTAGGTCACACAAACAAAATATTTGCGTGTCACACTAGAATTATAGTTCAATTTACCTCTTTCTAAGGGGACTGTCCGGATGGGGATGAAGTTCCTGCTTCTGATCATACGCGTGGGAATCCTCACTTTTATTTATGGAAAATTGCCGGGATGCAGTTTCTTTTCCCTTTTCAATCCTCTACGAAGTATTTTGATTCTTATGCTGTATTTTGACCCATCTGTACTCTGCCTCAAATATATATTCCGCCTTTTTCACAGAACTAAAGAACGAGTGAAAATAATTATTTTGTACTCGATTGTCGGTTGTCTATGATGTTTAACTAAAGTTATTTTAAAAATCAAATTATATAAAAATTGGAATACATTTTTAAAAATATTTATATATTTAAAATCAAATAAAAAGTTCTACAAAATAAGATGTTATATTGCTAAATTATTTTATCAAATGAGTAACAAAAATGAGTAAAAAAAGTGATTAAAAATTGAATATGTAAATACCAAATACTACCTCTGTCCCAAATTAAATTACATGTTTACTATTTACTGAGTTAAATTTTATTCACTTTTTTTTTCAATTTTTGTTAGTCATTTGATAAAATAATATAATTGTATCACCAATACTTTTAAAGATTTTTTTGATATAGTTTATAAATATGTAATTTTTATTTTTTTAATTTTACATTGTTTTTTATATAAAATGGTTTGAAAATAATTTCAGTCAAACATCATAAATGGAAATAACGATTTAGATTGGGACGGAGGGAGTAAGGCTTTGTTATGTAGGCCTGATTTGATTGAATCTGATTTAAATTTTTGAAGTTCTGATCTGATCTGATTCAGTCTGATCTGATCTTATTGAATCTGATCTGATCTGATTAGATCTGATGTAAATGAATTTAAATTTGATTTAGCTTAAACATAAAATTATTACAAAATCTATTACTTTTAAGAGCCTGGTTCCCTGGCCACTGGATTCCAGTGGCTACGGAAGCCACTACCCCCCCTACGGAGCTCCGTTCATAAAATTGATGATTCCTACCCCCTCTTACCCTCCCGGTAAACCCTCCGCCAAGTCCCGACCCAAACTAATCACCTCACCTACGTCAATTGTACCTCGTAAATATAATTGACTTTAAAGTTAAAAGTTTTGACTTTATATTTACGAGGTGAAATTGACGTAGGTGGGGTGATTAGTTTGGGTCGGGACTTGGCGGGGGGGGGGGGGGGGGGGGNGGTTGGGGAGGTAGGAATCATTAATTTTATAAATGGAGCTCCGTATGGGGGCCGTGGCTTTCGTGGCCATGGAACCGATGTCTACTTTTAAAGTATTATAATTCATGTATACATAAGAAAGTAAAAGAAGAAAATCAGCTCATCATTGATATATTTAAACTTTTTTAATAAAAACTAAATAATCCGTATTATAATAACTAAATATTAGAAAATATTGATGCTATTCTACCAAAATATCAAATTATAAATGCATGTTACATAGTAATATATTTAATGTTTCAAAATAAAGATCATTTAAAATCTTAAACACTAATATTCCTTTCACCTCTATCAATTTTGTCATAAACCCATCCTTGTGTATATTATATCATCTTAGAGTTTAAAAGTTAGTCTTTTTAAGTATAAAATATTTATGATTTTGAAAACTAAGTTTTGTAAACAAGTACTCCGTATTTTAGAACAACTCTTTTTAAAGTATGAAAAACACAACTTTTTAAGCTTTAACATTGCTTCCATGCATCATTCCTACAAGCTGAGCAATTATTAAAAATAACGGTTTGTAGTTTAAATATAATAATAATAATAATAATAATAATAATAATAATAATATAAAAATAATAATAGTAATTAAAATTATAATATTAGTTAAGGTTTAGGTGTGGGTAGCATTAAATAAAGTAATGTGATTTAATCAAATAAAAGTAATTATTATTTAATCATTGAAAAATATAAATATTATTTTTTTATATTTTTTGTGATTTGATATTATTGGCTTTGATCTGGTCTGATCTAATTGGATCTGGTCTGATCTGATTGGATCTGATCTGATTTGATTGGATCTGATCTGATATGGTTGGATCTAATCTGATCTGATTGCATCTGATCTGATTTAAATAAGAATAAGTAATAAGTAGAAAACAATAAATCCTACGAAACAGACCCTAGGTCACAAGTAATCTCAAATAAGAAATCACTCGATATAACACCATTAAGCATTAAAACAAATACCTATATAGCACTCTCATCTAATTTTTAACTTTTATAGCATGCTCCATCGTGTATCCTTTTAGAATATTCTAAATATAACCTTTTTTTCATTTTTGTGTAAACTAGACTCGTACCCGTGCGATGCACGAGTGGAAAAATTAATTATATTTAGTCATGAAATGAAAAAGAAATGATACAAAAATTGAAAGATAACAAATTATATTTAAAATACCCAATATAAGGTAATGTATGTACAGGAACGACCGTAGTCGATATACAGTGTTATAAGTTTTGGAACACTTCTTTATAAACTACATTTGTAGTTATGTTCGTTGACGGAAGGTCTTTATTGCAAATCAAGATCTTTAACCCCTCGCGACTTGTAACACGTGAAATTGCAACATAGAGTTGACCGTGACTGAATACCGGTTTCTTCAGTAGCAATCCAACATGGGACAAAGATTGGCCTTGAGTTTTGTTAATTGTCATAGCGTACGAAGTCATTATTGGGAATTCTTTCCTTTGAAACCTAAAAGGAATTCTTGCATCTGACGGTGTGAGAGATAACCGTGGAATAACAACTTCTTGGTCGACATTTTTTCCTGTCATCACCGTGCCCTAAATAAGGTGATTGCCAAGTCGAGTTACTATCAACCTTGTTCCATTGCAAAGATCAGATGATTGATCAATATTTCTCAACACATAATGGGTGTTCCAACCTTCAACTTCAGTTCATGATTTGGGACACCAGATGCTCGTATGTTGTTCAAGAATTCCGGAGAATGTAAATCTGTCAAAACATCTGCATTTGAATCTGGTTTACACACTGTATCAGAGCTAAAGTAGCTTTTTGCTTCTCCAATGTTGTTCAATGATGTCATGTAGTCATTGATTTCATCCACAACATCTAGAGTTGGTGTAAGAATGGCATGATTCTGCAAATATGTTGGATCATTTGCGGTATTGTGGAAGTCTGGTTACGTTGAATGAACTATAGTTCCTATAGGATCATCCGTGCTTTTTAACAACATATCGTCAGGGATAATAATTTCACTGGATCCGTCATTTTCATCTCCAGCTATGCCATCACCGAGACATCTGTTGCAAGCGCATGTTTTTTGTCAATCGTAACATTGTACAATGGTTCCATAGATATGATGAGTTAATGGCCGCATTGACAATGTCTTGTCTTCTCCCTTTAGGAATGACGGGTAGAATTTGCCGAAAATCTCCTCCAAGCACAATGGTTTTCCTTCCAAATGGTCGATCAGCATTCGATGCATTAACAACAGACATTACATCGCGTAGAATTCTATCTAGAGCTTTGAAACAATACTTATGTGTCATTGGTGCCTCGTCCCAAATTATTAGCTTCATTCTAACTAATAAATCAGCCAACAGTGTTCCTTGTTTTATATTGCAGGTGGAATTTTCATGAGGATTGATGGGTATTCCAAATCGCGAGTGTGCAGTTCTTCCACCGGGTAACAACAATGAAGTGATACCACATGATGCAACATTTAATACAATATCTCCTTTGGATCGAAGGGAAGCAGACAATGTTTTCCAAACAAATGTTTTTCCAGTTCCACCATATCCATATAAGAAAAAAACTTTCCCCTCGTCCAAGTCGACAGAAGACATTACACTTTCATAAGCTGTACGCTGTTCGCTATTCAACAATGTCAAACAATGTTCGTGCTCAAATGCCATTGCCACGCGATCATATTGGAGTTCGTCAAGGATTAGTCGGTTGCGGGTAGTAGATGCATTGTCTAAATTGGGGAAAGGCATATCATCGAAGTCTCGAAGACGTTTGCCACGCATTATAAGCAACCTTTGAATTTCAATCAAGGCATAATTCTTGATTTGATCCTCGGTTAAGGTCAAACCTACAGATTAAAGAGAAAAGCAAATATGAAAATTGGTTCTATGTATAGAACATATAAATATAGTTAAGTAGTACCTTGATGACTTAGAAGACAACGTTGGCGATGTAGTATATCATCGGCCATGAATTCCCAACATTGTTCCCAAACATGTTTTGGTCTAGACATTGATTCGTTTGTGAGGAGTGTTACGAATAAAAACTTCAATTGATTTGCCGAACACCACTGGCTTGCTTCTTTGAATCCATCGATGTACTCCATATCATCATCTAGCAATCCCATAGCATAACATGCATCGCGATAAGTGTTGTGAACAACACCATTGACAGTTTTTAGATCTTCGTATGATGTAGGGCCCCGGACTATGTTCAATAAAGTTCTCATGTAATAAGATTCTCCAGAACCTGGAGGAACATATATAACACGCCCTATAGCAAAACCTTTTAATCGAGGTTCGTACTCTCTTTTACCAGCCTTCCAAACAAATTTTTGAGGAAACTCAGCATAAGTTAAAGTCTTTGCCAAAGGATATTTTTCATTTGCTTTCATCCATGCAAGAAATTTACTCTCCCGTATGCTTTCTCGAGTGTAGACATCACTTGGATCATCATCGTCTTCAAAAAATATCCATCGCTCACCTGGTAAGTGAAAGCTTAAGCGTTTAACGCTGGGACATTTATATTGAATCGCGAATCCAAATATTCGCCACGTTGCCTCACACAGGGAAATATATCGGCAATCGTAATACATTTTAATTTCGTTTAGTGTTTCGGCACTTGATGAAGCAGACGTAATACATTTCAATATCGTTCGTCCATCATTTCTTCTCCTATATTTTGGATATCCATCCTCGTCAATGATGGTCTCCTCGTTGAATAATTTAGGAAAGTATTTGGAACACTTTCCTTCTTTCATGCAAGGAAGAATTTGGTCCGAGGGTACCACATGGACCATGAATCATAAAATCACGAACTGCATTGAAGTATTTTGGATCACTCCCTTCATCAGGCAACTACGCAG